CCCCCCCCCCCCCCAGTGAAAAATGCCCCTCCCTACTCTTTTCTGGATTTTTTGCCGTTCAATGAAAATCCAGTTGAGGTCAATTCTAGAGGGTTCATAAAGGCACATTTGTTTGGGTGAAGTCGGGGGGGGGGGGGGGGGGGGGGGGGTTGCCCCCGTACGTTACATTTTGCATGGCAAGATAATTTGGAAAATGAAAAACCCCTGGGTGACGAGGTACGTGTTTGCCCAGCCCGCCCCCTACTACAGTAAAACCTGTCTAAGACGACCGACCGCTCATGGGACCTTCACGACGTGGTCTCTGTTACCAGGTGGTCACCTTAGCCAGGGTCATTTGACTGGAAATAGCATCCCTAGGTCCTGGTTCCAGTGGTCTTCTAGGACAGGTGGTTGCCTTATCCGAGTGGTCGCCTTTACAGGTTTTACTGAATATTGACCTGGCTAGAACCCGGGTCAATAGAAAGGCTCTGCACAACGAAAATTCGGACGAAGTTTCGCGACGGGCCTTGCGAGAATGTGTGCGTAATTTCGCACGGACTTTGTGTTCTGCACATTTTCGTAGTTTGCCCGCTAAAATTTAAATTACCCGCTCTACAGTATGCTGTCCTATGCGAGTCTCTCCATGCCATCAATGCAGCTCCTGCATAATATTGTGCAGTACAGTCAAACAAACACACATCCGTTTTCCACAAAAATATCCGGATAGGCGAGGGAACCGGATAATCGAACACACAATACTGTATGCATGGCATATACTGTAAATCGGTAACGAACAATTTTCTTCCGGATGGCGAGGGATGCGGATAAATGAGGACCGGATAAGCGAGGCCTGGCTGTACGTGTACATTGTAATGTATGCCGTGCCATGCTGTGCCCTGCCCTGTCCTGCCCTGCCCTGCCGTGCCGTTGCGTTGCTGCAGGCTCCTATTCCGTCCAGGACTCCGTGTACTACCTATCGCTAGTGCTCATCATCGTGTTTGCTGCGGCGGCTAACCTGATTGGCCAGGCCACGACCATCGCCGTGGAGAGAGACTGGGTCGTAGTGCTAACTGCCGGCGACGCAGACTTACTAGCGCGTAAGTACTTGTACAGGAGAGCGTTTCAAATACTGTAAACAGCCTAATGTTTTTTGCACTTGAAAATACCGCCATTCCGGCAACAGGCTCTCAGCTGCACAAATAGATAACTTTGCCTGATCTATTTGGTGCAGCTGAGAGCCTGTTGCCAGAATGGCGGTATTTTCAAGTGCAAGAATACGCTGCAATGGAGTTCGGGAATTCTGAAGAAGCCTAATGATTAGGGCTGAAACGATCGTGAATTTTCACGTATCAATTACTCTTTAGCGTAACGATCGAGTAATCGATTATAATCGTTAGCAAATAGAGTCATAATTCTGTGCAAACATTACTCTGTTTCCACAAACTATGCCTTCATAATACCAACAAATCTGCATTAGTGAAAGGGTAGCTCCGAAACATGGCAGTTTTGAAGTCAATTTAACCTCAGAACATGAACCATACCCCTGGCAACTGCATACTCCCAGCGGAAACTGATTCAAACTTCACAAAACGAGGGTTTACAGTACTTTCTGGACACAAATTTGAAAAAACGCAAATAATCGTAATCGGTAATCTAAACGATTGCTCGATCGTTAGAGTTATCAAACGAATACTCGATTATTCGGTATAATCGTTTCAGCCCTACTAATGATTGCGGTGTATTAATGTTTGCTAATTTTGCGAGAAGAGCATAACGCAAATATTAACCATCGGGAATTTAGTAGATATCATGTAATTGGCCTGTTTGTTCTTTGACTCTAAATAAACAAACAAACAAACAACAACAACAACAACAACAACAAATCAAACTTCAACAGTGGGTGTATATGTGTGGCCATGGTGCTCCGTGAACATTTGCCATCGTAAACTCGCTGGTTCTGAGATATCGCAAAAATCGAGTGACGCAAACATTGGGTGGTTTACAGTAGGACATGTGTCGCAAACCAGACCGGGCTCAATATTCACTTTCTCTCTTGGTGTTTTGATTAGAAAACATAATAATAATATCGAGTGAACAATCTACACTGATGATGGGTTTGGGTCTACACAATATTGCTGTCATACCGGTCCTATTTGAAACACCCTCCTCTACCATTTTCGGGGAGCTCTGACTCTGTAGATTTTAAAATAGATAAGCAGCATGCATTTCTGCGTGTTTATCACTAAAACAACAACTCTACCTACCCAACATGATATGCTATGCTATCTATGCTATCTATGCTATATACAACTTGAAGTCATGTTGCTGCTGCCTGGTGTCATGAGGTCGGTCAGAGAGCGCATGTGCTGGAGGTGGAATTGCGTTATTAGAGAGGTTAAGATGCACAATATTTCCGACGTGACGCGCAATTTCACATCAAATTTGGCGTAAAACTCCAAAATTTCAACGTGAGCTGCAGGTCACTCGCGTTTTTTCGACGTGCGAGCCAAATGACGCGGGC